TAATCAAATCTCCATGTAATGATCATCTCGGCGAGCCTGTGATCCAACAGCAAATGTCAGTGGTGCCATATAGGGCTCCATGGTGCCCGGGCACCACTGACATCCACCATTGGATTACAGTCTCACCTAGTTGATCAGTACATGTATGTTTGATTAACGGTTTCACCCGTTAAGTACATTTGGTTTGGTAATTGACAGCGTGTGCATGCATGCAAAATATTTAGGAGTATCAATTTAGCGTATTTAATACCTTTCCATAAACGGTTTCCGGTTGGGATTTGGTTTCTAAATATTTGTCACCATAATCATGAATTTGTGGTTTATTAGGGTATATGGAAATCTGAGTATACGTGTACGATGTAGTATATATGGAAATGTTATGTTGCGGTTATTTTAAAAATAATTATATATGGAAATCGAGGTACTATATAAATACACCATGAACGCTGTAGTTGGAATATAAGTATATATGGAATCTATGCTTATGTATAAAAAAATCAGACATACACGCGTACCGTGTACATGTGAGAATTAATTAGTTCGAAATGAATATCGGTCGTGAAATTAACCTGTACGAAAAAATTTGTCAGGCGAACGGGATACACGGCTGTCAGGTACCTACACGTACACTACCTAGAATCTAAACTAGAATCCACAGTCCACTACCTACACCTACACGCTTGTCAGGTACACATATACACAGTCTCGTAGGTATAAGTTAATTTATCCTCTAAACTCAACAATTATATTTAAATCTGACCGTGCACCCAAAAAATGATGAGCAGCCTAAATTAATTTTGGATAAAACGCTAATTCTAGTTTTGGATAAGACGATACATACGTAGTGGCCACGTACGCGAGACATATACCTCAACTTATTGTCAAACTTGATCCCGAGCATAGTATCCAATTTATTTTATATAAAAAAAACAGGCATACACGCGTACCGTGTAGATGTGAGAATTAACATGATCGAAATGGATATCGGTCGTGAAATTAACCTGTACGAAAAGATTAGCGAGGCGAACGGATGACAGCGGACGTGTGTCCTCCCTGGTCCACTACCTATACGTACACGCTACTCAGGTACCCATATACACGATCTCGTAGGTATAAGTTAATTTATCCTCTAAACTTAACAGTATATTTAAATCTGACAGCGCACCCTAAAAATGGTGAGCAGCCGAAATTAATTTCGGATAAAACACTAATTTTTGTTTTGGAAAAAACGCTACATATAGAGTTGACGCGTACGTGGCACATATACCTGTACTTATTGTCCCACATGATCCCGAGCATAGTACCCAATTTTTTTAAAATATAAAAAACCAGGCATACACGTGTATCGTGTACATGTGAGAATTAACTTGATCGAAAGGTATATCAGTCATGAAATTAACCTGTATTTAAAAATTAGCGAGGCGGACGGCCTCCACCGGACGTGTGTCCTCCCAGTCCACACCTGTACGTATACGCCACTCAGGTACAAGTATACACGACCTCGTAGGTACAAGTTAATTTATCCTCTAAACTTAACAATTATATTTAAATCTGACCGTGCACCCTAAAAATGGTGAGCAGCCTAAATTAATTTTGGATAAAACGCTTCCTTTTTTTTTTGAAAAAATGCAACATACGTAGTGGCCACGTACATGACACATATACCTATACTTATTGTCCCACGTGATCCCGAGCATAGCACCTAATTTTTTTAAAATATAAAAAACCATTCGTACATGGTACACGTGAGAATTAATTTGATCGAAAGGTATATCAGTCACGAAATTAACCAGTATTTAAAAATTAACGAGGCGAACGGCGTCCGGTGTCCTCCTCAGTCCACGTACCTATACATACACGTCACTCAGGTACGGGTATACACGACCTCGTAGGTATAAGCTAATTTATCCTCTAAACTTAACAATTATATTTAAATCTGAGCGTGCACCCTAAAAATGGTAAGCAACCTAAATTAATTTTGGATAAAACACTAATTTTTGTTTTGGAAAAAAACGCTACATACATAGTGGCCGTGTACGTGACACATATTCCTATACTTATTGTCCCACGAGATTCCGAGTATAGTACCCAAATTTTTTTTAAATATAAAACACTAGGCATACACGTGTACCGTGTACATGTGAGAATTAACTTAATTGAAAGGTATATCAGTCACGAAATTAACCTGTAGAAAAAATTAGCGAGGCGAACTGCCTCTACCGGAGGTGTGACCGCCCTAGTCCACTACCTATACCTATATTTAAATCTGTCTAAACCCTAAAAATGGTTAGGAGACTAAATTAATTTTGGATAAAACGCTAATTTTTGTTTTGGAAAAAACGCTACATACGTAGTGGCCATGTACGGGACACATATACATGTAATTATTGTCCCACATGATCTCGAGCATAGTACCCAATTTTTTTTAAATATAAAAAGCCAGGCATACACATGTACCGTGTAGATGTGATGTGAGAACTAACTTGATCGAGAGGTATATCAGTCGTGAAATTAACATGTACGAAAAAATTAGCGAGGCAAATGGCATCCACCGGACGTGTGTCCTCCCCAGTCCACTACCTAGGCGTACACGCCACTCAGATACGCGTATACACGACCTCGTAGGTATAAGCTACATACGTAGTGGCCGCGTAATTGAGACATATACCTGTACTTATTGTCACACTTGATCACGAGCCTAGTTAATTTGTTTATATGTAAAAGACCAGGCATACATGCGTACTGTGTAAATGTGATAATTAACCTATTCGAAAGGGATATCGGCTGCGAAATTAACTTGTACGCAAAGAATAGTGAGGCGACCGGCCTTGACCGGATGACCGGACGTGTGTTCGCATCAGTCCACTACCTGTACGTACATGCCTGTCAGGTGGCCTATCCAATTAATTTTTTGATAGAATAACTGAAGTACATTCTGGCAGAGAATACCTGCCATTAAAAAGAAGACCGATTCACATAGGCAGCATTGCAGAATTGAAGATAATTAAACTTGTCCATCAGGTATAGGGACAATAATATAAATTTATATATGTATCAAAGAATTAATACTCATGTAATCCAAAGTAAAAAGTAACAACCCGAATAGTTCTTGCATCATATGACAGATGTTATTTCACACAAATAAAGGATTTTAAAAAAAATATCTTGCGCTTCATTGCGAGACAGCACTGTTGTATTGCTTCATAAGTTGTCTGACGACATCCGGGAGTGTGGCTGTATTATCCTTCATTGCCATGATATCCATCACAATGTCTGCTCTGATATTGTTAATGGATACCTGTGATTCATAAAACAATTCATTGTTAACAAGATGAGTATAATGTACTTGAAAACCATAAGTGAAAAGTGCACAACATATAATAAGTACTTAGGAATAATTACCAGATTGAGACCTCCGACACATTTGAAGCCATCCAGTTCTTCATGTACACCAGAGAGTTGATTCCACTATCAACACTGCATGAGAGTTGTTTATATATCCATTAGGCATTAATCAAATATAGGTATATTCTATATTAAAATTCAAGTATGTTTTTTTATACCCGAAATACATCGGAGGATCATTGGGTTCAGTCTGTTCTCACTTGGTGACCTCGTCGGTCCAGTCTAGGAAGAACATAGACAAACACTCCTGCATTGCTTTCGCTAGTATGGGGCCATTCCATTGATGATTATTTTCAGCATGGCTATCATTGCCACAAAATAACTTTTTGGGATCAAGGATCTGAACCACCCTTTCCCGCAGTTTAAATGCATAGCTTTTCCAATGGTTCATTTCACACATTGGAACAAAAATCTGTGGTTTAATTTTGTCAGCTTATGTATTTTTATATAAAAAGGTAGAAATGTTCTTACTGACAGAATATTTACAATAGAATGTTAGTAGATAAAAAGAAGAAAAATGGCAAATCATCTATACATAACAGGGACTGCATGTGAATGTAAACTGTGTGAGTGATAAAAACTAAGATACATACCTTTCACGTATTGTAGCTCGCTGGTGAATATTGCCTGTTCCGAAGCTCAGAAACAACCAGCGACGGTAGCGAAAAGGCACATGGACGTCCGGCGCTGTAATGTGGCTTGACAAAAATGGTTGAGGAGGTCTAGTTTCCAGCAAGAGGCTCGCGGACGAACGTCGTCGGTGACAAAAACCACGGACGTCGGCCCTCTTCACGGCGTGGCGAGCAATCCCGGCGAGGTAACTCAGTGAAGAAGAGGTGGATAGCTAGCTCTTCGACCGTGAAACAGTGTAGCCAAGAAAAATAAAAAAAAGGAATATTGTAGCCGGTATATGTGTATCTTGAAAATTGAATGTAACCTTGAAAATATATGGCAATAATCGCAATTAGTGGAATGGCGTCATTTTTCAAAAACAGAATCTTGTTTCAATAGGTAAGTACCTGCATGCAAACATTGTATATATGGAAATGTGATATAGAAAATGGAAAGTGCTAATCATAATGTGTAGGCATGATTAGAGGGCACAAATTTGGAAATACATGCACGGTATACATCAAAAATGGAAATACCTGCATGCATGTTCTAAGGAAAGTATATCGATGCAAAACTCTTATCGGGTTAGATCCGCTAATATGTGATAGTATCCTCTAGTGCGTTGCACAGATCTTAAAGCACTTGGACGGTGGATGGCCGTGTAGCCCGGGCACCATGGGGCATATATATATATATATGAAAATGCTTCTATACACTCAGGTGTACGTACTCCTGGTTCCATCCACCATCCATCCGCACACACCACCTATCAAGCCAGCTAGCGGATCCAGATACCGAGCCCGTTTTGATTTTTGTATCAAAAAAAAAATCCTCACGATCTTAATTATTCCGCACTAGCCGGAACCCTTTCGAATAGCTCGTATTAATATCTCTTGGGTGGTTCTAAATAGAATCGATAGATGGATCTGTCGGTTATATCGCGATCGGACGATTCGGAGGCGACGGCGGCACGACCCATCGGCGACACCATAATACCTCGTGCATATGGAATGATCAGCAAGTTAGGAAGTGCTCAAGCTCGATGCATCCCATGGCCACGTGACAATGTATGATGCTATTATTTCATTTGTCTAGCTTATTTACATGCAACTAATTTTTTAAAATTACATTGCAGCTAATGCATCCAAGTGGTCAAGCTCTACACTCTAAGGTACTGCATATTTCACTAATTGTTACTAGTACATTTAAGTCAAAATTAGAGTGATATTGCTATATGTGGTAATCTGGATGTTAAATATGATTTTCACTCAATTTAAGGTGTCGACTATTGCGAGACATAACTCAGCTAACCAAGGAAATTCGGTGGCACTAACTGAGGTGTTCAAGCACAATAGCATTGATAATGCACTGCAAAGTGTTGTTGGACACAAGAGAAAGGTGCATGATATAATACAGGAGAATATAGGACGTGAAGATACACATTCTACGGCAAAGAAGATTGGGAAGGCCAGACCCGATTCTCCATATGCTAACTTCACCAATAGCCAACTGTTAACAACTTCCCGGTTCTAGCTCAAGTTAATTGCCCCTCACTCCCTCTCTCCATCTCTTAATTCTTTTTGCAATAATATGTGGACAATGCATTATATTTAGGTGACTAATGAGTAAAGGAATTCTAGCAAATGAATATTAATCCTAGTGATATGCTTTGTAGGTGTTGCAGCTGCATTTGTTTATTCTTAAAGAACTATAGTTCATGAGCTCAATCTTGTTTGTGTAAATAATAGGAAATATGCATGGTATGTTATGAATTACTATGAAACTGGTTCTTATATTTTGATGGCAATGGATGTTATGTTATGGCCGGGATTAATTCCCATACTTTGCCCTGCAAGGTTGGATGAAAAGATGTTGGTTTACCTCTTCTTATGTTGTGATTTGCTACTTTGCCCTCTAATCACCATGTGCAAGATGATGTCTAACATGACTTTGTAGCATGGATATGATAGGCACCTGAATGCAACATGTATATATTGCAACACGCATGTGTGTGTGTCTATATATATATATATATATATATATATATATATATATATATATATATGTATATATAGAAAAACTATTCTACACCCGGGTATAGAATATAGAATAGTTATTCTATACCCCCTCCCTCCAACCCACCTCCCCTCTCTTCAAGAGGGCAAAACCCACCCCCCCACCTTGGTTAAAGGTCCCCCACCTCGGTCAAACCAGTCTGTGGCTTTCCCCACCACCTCCACTCTTCTCAGTTCTCGTCTCAGAACCGCGTAGTAACGTGATATTTATCGTGCAGTAACGCTATGTCTTACGTGTAGTAACAACATTCAAATTTAGTTGAAATATAGCCATGACGGATCTACTTTTGATAAGCACTTTTTTTCTAACATCATGGTGCAAGCGGTTTAAAAAAATCATATATCACGTGAGAAATATTGTTGTTCGAAGCTTAGGTTTTTTGGATCTTGACTCTCCACAAGTAGTAATATTATAGCATTAGTTACTACTATCTATTGTGCGTTACTGCAATCCCATCGCGACGTTATTGTAAGTGTGCAGTAAATACCATAAGTTTTGTAGTAACAATACGTCTTACTGCAATTCTCGAATAGTGTTACTGCATAAATATGTGGTAACGTATACCTGCCATGCAGTAACAATTCCACTTTGTGCGATAACAATTATATTTAGCATGTGATACTTTTAACCTATATTTTTTCTGATTCCAAGTTTACCGCATCTCACCACTATGTTACTGCCAAAGGTGCAGTAACGCTCTATATGTTCTACAGTAAAAAAAGTGTTTTACTGCAATTCTTGTGTAACTGTCAGGTGGTAACGTGTATCTGTCGTGGTTATCATATGAGACTTTAAACCCATATACTTTTGTTTCAATTCCTGATTTACTGCAATTCACCATAATACTACTGTCAAAAGTACAGTAACGACATATACATACATGCAGTAACACTATATTAGAGGAAGGAGACCGGTTTTCTTGAGAAGAGGGAGGAAGAACGGTTTCTTGAGGGGAGCACGTAGATGCATTTTGAAATTTAACCCTCCCATGCAGTAATACTATAGCATCATGGTGGAAATGGTTTAAAAAATAATATACCTCTTGTGAGATATTGCTTTTCGAGATTGGCATTTTGAACTTTAACCCTCCACATGCAGTAACAGAATGTGTAATTTGTAACAACGATGGCATATACATACAGTAACATGGTTTTACCAAATATATAAAATTGTTCAAAACACTCCTATATTTATCAGACCTCGCTCAAAGCCACCTACATACTTTACCTATAGCCCACCTATTCGATTTTCAACTCATAAAAATGATATAGTAAAACTACTATTATCGTGCAGTAACATAGCTACTTGGAAGTGGTAACATGCACCTATCTTATAGTAACACTTATACTTTTGTGCAGTAACAACTATATAGTTAGCATGTGAGGCTTTAACCCATATATTTTTGCTTTAATTCCTAGTTTAACAAGTGAGATATAGTCTAGTGGATGTTCTTATGTTGATTTAGTTGAAGGCCTTGTGTTCAAATCCTATTGATTGCAAATTTTTATTTTATTTTTTCTCTCTAAAAAAAGAGAGAGAGATTAGGAAGGGAGGAGAGATCAGAAGGGGGAGGGGGCGGCATGGGAGGGAGAGATCGATAAGGAGGGGAGGGGGAGGGGGAAGCGAGAGAGAGAGGAAGAGGGAGGGGGTGGCACGGGAGGGAGAGATCGAAGGGGAGAGGAGGGGGAGGGGGAAGCGAAGAGATGGGGGGAGTGGAGGCTGGGACACATGAGGAAGGGGGGGTGCCGGGTGTAAAATAGTCTTACCCTATTTATATATTGAAAATCGATATAGAAACTTACATGTTTTTCTTTTGCAGGTTCAAATGCACGGACAGGTTTTGGTGTAATCCATTCTCAGGCTGTTTTTCCTCATTGCAAATACATGCGAGCCTCACAGGATGACAGGAGCAAGCCACTCAGTAGATCAATGCTGTTTATTGTCTTGTAAATCATAAACATACCATTGATTGTGATAGCATATGTTATAAACTTAATTACCATTGAGATGATTTGTGAACCACTTAATGTGCGATTGAATTGGAATTGGGAATTATTGTTCTATATTGTTTTTGGAGATATATGTAATGTGTTATGTCATTTCCTGTTAAAACATTCATATGGTGGGATGAGCCTGTATATGCATGTATTGTACTATTTGAGGCATTTTAATAAAGTGCCTAAAAAGAAAAGTAAAGGCATTGTCAAAAATGCCTTGAAAATAAATTAGGGGCATATGTTAAAATACCTCGGAAGAAATTATTGGCACAAGTCCAAATGCCTCAAATGTGCCTCAAATGTGTTTAAATGCAATCTAAAAAGTGCCTTCATCTATACTTATGAAGGCATTTTGAAAAAGTGCCTTAAAATCCCTTTCCCTACAATAGTATATCCAACACTTTTTTAAGTGCCTTCTTTAAGGATTGGAGGTATTTTTTTAAGTAGTTGAGGCATTCTTAAATGCCTCCGAATCCTTGCGATTCGGAGGCGCCGGCGTCTTCCATTACTGGTGCCTCCGGTATGGCTGTCCCCAGGTGATTGGCTGGGCGAAGCGCTGGTAACCAAACAAAGGCGCCGTTATTCTTGGGGCATTGGCAAGCTTGTGTGGCCGTGCGGCGACGGCATCGATCCAGGCCCGTGCAACGATCAAGATGACGATGAGCGCCGTACGTCCAGAACTGCAACATCGACGATGCTGGCAAGTTCTTCTTTCTTCCGATTTTCTTAATTTGCTTTTTCTTGCAGATCGATAATGCATGCATGTATACTCTTTCCTTTTCCTAATAGATCTATCTCTGTTAATAGCAGAAGAGGATGCAGACACGTATATATATGCCACTGACATAATAATATTTGGAAGTTGTATTTCTTACTATTAAATTTAAATTTTTTGATTTACTAGGTTTTCTTCTAAAGAAACACTACAAATCCCACATATAGGAGAGAAGAGGGGTGTTTGTACCTATATGTATTCCGTCTTTATTGATTCACATCTACTAACCAAAACTACGTGAATATGTAAGTATGTAACAAGCTAGATGGGGGCTAGCATGATGGTACAAACAAAACACATTTATTAGTAATAATAGTTTTTTCGAGGTTTATTGATTTATCTTATTTAGACCGTATTTCTTGAAAAAAAAACTATGCTTTCATTTTAGATGATGAAGTGGATTGTCGATAATTGCTCACAGAGATGAATTAAATATTATATAAGATGATGTTGATAAATAGCTTGGAAATAATATTTGAGAGATGTCCATTAACAAAATTTTAGAAAAAACTATATTTTTGAAGATTGACACAAATAATCCAAATGATATCTAGCCCTTAATAAGTTTACCAATCATAGGTTAAGACAAATGCCCGAGCATTCAAGTGGGCTACTTTTCTAGTTGATAAAATAGGAGCGTAACAGCACCTGTAAAACAGATGTGTTGTATATATGTGCAAATTGATGGGAGATGGAGCACACTACACCACAGCACCAAATAGGAGGCGTTGTCATGCGCATGGGTTCCATGCCTTTGAAACATACCTTCATGGTATATCATATAGGAAACTATTCTAATCCCTCGAGGGGATGTTTCCTCGTTTGTTTAAAAACCATTTAAACGGTTATGAAAAATTATGGAAAAATTTGACAATATTTATACAACACATATATACAACTCCACAAAATCTTAAGTCCAAACTCAACTCACACGTCGAGATATAAAAAAGATAAATTCAGCGTATGAATAGTAGAGTACTGTTTATATCTAAATTTGTTTTTTTTTTCTCGATGTGTAGATCGAATTTGAACATGAATTTTAGTGGATTAGTAGGTATCATTATGCTCTACAATGTCAATTTTTTTTCAGATTTTTTCATAACTATTTGCATCGAATTTGGAAGAAAAAGGTAGACGAGAGGATATCCCCTCGAGGGATTAGAATCTACTCCCATATCATATATATACTTATCAACTTATGGATGGAAGGGATCCTTCGGAACCTCGTCTATTCTATCCAAGATAACACAGCTGTGGCAGATAAATTCTACTGTTTTGCAGCGCCATATTTACACACCATCATCATCTTGTTGCTGCCATCAGCCATCATATATTTCACAAGATACAGTAGGGTGGCACCATCAAACAAAGGAGCAGTGCAATAAAGTTTTGCTAGAGAGCTACTTATCATTATCACTATTACAGGATAGATTTTCCTAGACGCCACCCTATTTTGTTTACATGCGGTCCATAAATAGAACTGCATGAAAAAATAGGGAACCAGCACCGAGCTGTTTTTCACACGGGAAAACGCATTATCCCGTGCGGGTGGCTTAACTCACCTGCACGCGATAGCTCATCCGGCCTCTCCCTCTCAAAATTTCAAAAAAAATTCATCCTCTCAACTCTCTCTCTCTCCTTCCCCACCACTTCATCCTTATCCTCTTCTCACTGCCTCATCCTTATCCTCTCAACTCTCTCTCTCTCCCCTCTCCTCTCCTCTCATGCGCGGGCCAGCAGGCGCACGGGTGCGGCTCGACGGCCGGCGCGCGGGCGGCGTCGGGGAAGCTTCCGGCGGCAGCGGCTCCGTGCCGAGCGCGCTGGCGGCGGTGGAGGCGCTGTCGGCGTTGGGGGCCGGGAGAGGGACGCGGTGGAGGCGGGTGCAGGGAGTCGCGAGCGGCACGGAGCGAGGCGGCCGGCGCCCGGATCCACCCTCCGCCGCCCAGATCCGGCGGCGGCGTCCCTCTCCCACCCTTCCCCACACGAGGGCGACAACGACGACGACGACGAGGCGGGAGCAGCGGCGGCTCTCCTCTCCCTACTTTCGTGGGGCGGCAGCGACCGTGCGAGGCGGCGGAGAGTGGGCGTGGCGGTGACCGGTCGAGGCGGCGACCTGGCGGGCGCGGCGAGGCGACGACCGGGCGGGCACGGCGAGGCGGCAGCGGCGAGCGGACGCGGCGGCGAGTGGGCGGCCGACGCGACTGTGGCCGCGGCGGCCGTCCCCCGCGGCGGTGAGGGGCGGCGGCGGGTGGGCTCAACGGCGACGCGATCGGGTGGCCGTGGCTGGTCACGACGGCTACCGAGGGGCCGTGGCTGGTAAAGGAGGCGACCGGGGCGGCCTGGCTGGTCGCGGCGGCGCGACGATGTCGACGATGAGTTGCGGCGGCCGGTTCGCTTGTGGGCCGGCGGGCGGGCGGCAATTTTTTTAAATTTTTGGTTTTTTCGATTCCGTGCGGGTGGTATAATATGATTATTCCGTGTGGTCCTCCTGCCCACACGTGAAAATACTAATTTTCGCAGACAACGGTGTGCAGGTGGGCCAAATGACCGCATGGAAAAATAGATATGCCCGCCCGGGAAAATGAGTTACTTAGTAGTGTATATTAAGGAGAAGAAAGGAGTGGATAAGAACCCTTACAACAAACACAATAGACCTTACACGAGACAAAAAAAAAAAAACTGCCTCAGCCTATTACAAAATCGGACAAAATTGGACATTCTTCACCCCCAACTATGAATACCGGATGAATTACCCCCCTCGACCAAATCCACGGTGGTTTTGGTCTACGTGGTGTACACGTGGCAGTCCAGTCAGCATTCTATTTATAAAAAAAATTGTGGGACCCACCTGTCATACACTACTCTCTCTCACTCTCTCACTTCTCTCTCTTCCTCTCTCTCTCGCAGCCCCATCTCACGGGTCGGCGGTGGTGGGGGACACGAGTGGCGGCAGCGGCGCGTGAAGTGGAGGCGGCGGTGGCGGGGGATGGAGAGTGGCGGTGGTGGCGGCGGCGGCGCGTGATGCGGAGGCAGCGGCGGCGGGAGATGGGGAGCTCGGCGCGGCTTCCCCCCTCCCTCTCGGTGGCGTGCGGGTGGGCGGACGGAGCTCGGCGCGGCTTCCCTCCTCCCTCTCGGACGGAGCTCGGAGCAGGATGTGATCCGATCGCCTCGCCATCGTCGCCTTCTCCGGCGCGCCGTGCGGAGTAGCAGCTGGCACGAGCGGTGCCGGCCCTCCACGGCGGGAGCTCGTCGCGGCGGCTGCACAACCTGTTCGTGGCGACAGGAGCGGTGGCCGAGTCGCGGCGGCTAGCGGAGCTCAACAACTACGCGACGGCGCGGGCGCACGGAGCTACGCGACTACCGACGACGACGCACCCGAGCCGGTCAACCCCGCCGCCCGCAGCCTCGCCTCCTACTCGGGCCACGCCATCGCTGCCAAGAGGTCCCGCCGTATCGTCGGCTGCGATGGCGAGTACCACCGCCGGCACCCGGTCCGTGGCATCTCAACCCCGCCGCCCGCGCGCCGTCGCCATCTCCCCTCGAGCCCTGCCCGTGTCACGCGCCGTCGTCCGTCGCGCCCCGCCAACCGCCTCGCCGCCGCTGCCACCTCGACTCCTCCGCCGCACCCCGCCGCTGCCGCCTCACCTCCTCCGCCGCACCCCGCCGCCCCATCCCCCGCTCGCCGCCTCCTCTGCTGCCGTGCGCGTGTGAGACAAAGAGTGAAAGAAGAGAGAGAGGAAGAGTGAGAGAGAGAAGAGAGAGGAAAAGTGGAATATGAGTGATGACATGTGGGCCCTATATTTTTTAATAAATAAAATGTTGACTGGACCGCCACGCGTACGCCACGTAGACCAAAACCACTGCGGATTAGGTCGAGGGGGGTAATTTGTCCGGTTTACATAGTTGGGGGTGAAGAATGCCCGTTTTTATGATTTAGAGGGGTAATTCGGACAACTGCGATAGTTCAGGGGGGTAATTCGTACTTTTTCCTTTCTATTAATGAAAATGAAGGTTTGCCCTTTGCTAAAAAAAAGTTCCCAACATTCATAAATCTCCAAGCAATTAAACAAATAAGTTTTTTTTAAGGCACAGGCCGCTTCCAAAACTTCTTGCAAATTAAAGTGGAAAAAACCATATGCAGAAGAACCAGTACTATCTGGAGCAAAAGTCCTAGAGCTAAGTAATGAGAACAATCCATTATTCATTTCTCGTAATACCAAGTAACAGTATGTCACATGAATTCTTCTGTTTAGCACAAACTGTACAAAATTAACTAAATGATGAACAGTCCTAGCTAACAGGTAATCACGTGCATTATCAGTTCATCACAGAAACCGAGAGGCCAAGACGGTTTGCTACTCATGGATGTAGAAGGAATTAAACCAAACTCTGGTGTATATACATGAGGAAGTTTCTCTTTTTTAATACTCCCTCCGTTTCTAAATATTTGTCGCCGTTAACTTTTTTAAACATGTTTGACCATTCGTCTTATTAAAAAAATAAGTAATTATTAATTCTTTTCTTATTATTTTATTATTTTATTCATTGTTAAATATACTTTCATGTATACATATAGTTTTACATATTTCACAAAATTGAATAAGATAAACGGTCAAATATGTGCTAAAAAGTTAACGGTGTCAAACATTTAGAAATGGAGGGGGTATATCGTTCCTCTTCGTCTGTTCCAAATGAACTCTATAGATTCTTCTGCTATTTGTTTCTCCTCCTATCTCCAAATCTAATTTGAAATTGCTACATCAACCAATTATGGCGTTGTCTTGGTATCAGAAGTGTAACTCATGGCTTTTGAATATAGCTAGAAATGAAAACACATTATACAAAATCAGCAGAGGAAAAGAAGGTATATGAAAAAAGAAAAAGGCTGCCTACTCTACATTTAATAGAAAATTCCCTCTAAAATTTAGGGAATATTACGCCATTAATTGGATTGTTTTGATTCGTTCAAACACCCAAACCCTTAACCTCAGTATCCTCTTCTTCTTCCCTACACCGTCGCCGTCAGCCGTTGGACATCTAGATCATCATCAGAGCGGGAGGTAAGGTGTTGAGACATGAATCTTAGAATAGATCGGAGAGTCCAAAATCTGCAAGACAGTGAGGGGGTAAGGAGGGATTTTTTTTTTTGTTGAATGAAGGTTATTATCAACTAGCAGCTGGAAAAGAAATCCATGTATTACCATACAAGGACATAATGTAAAGCAATGGATGAACCAATGCTTAGGATATTTCTTGAATGGCTGCTAGAGTATCTCCTTCATCAAAACTGGCCAATGAAAGCCTAGTACGACTCAAGCGGAAGTGTTCAGTTATGTAATTATTGTACCTTTGAAACTGCTAGCCAAGTGTAAACGCACACCCTTCAACAGGGAATGCTTTATATTTGTACTTTTGGTCCTGTTAATTTCTGTCACGGTGTCACCTCACATCAAATCAGAAAACGCACACCCTTCAAGAGGGAATGCTTTATATTTCCATATAGAGATCGGCAGTGTTCCAAAAGTCCAGTGTTCCAAAATCAATGGCCATCTTCATCGGATGCATCTGTTCACTTGCACTCTTGCTGCTCTGCTCCCATGTATTCCAGCTTCTCTCAGACGCTCGCCGCCCTCTCCCACCGGGCCCGAGGCCGCTTCCGGTCATCGGCAACCTCCTCGACGTCGCCGGTGAGCTCCCGCACCGCTCGTTGTCGCGCGTCGCACAGCGGTACGGCCCGCTGGTGACGCTCCGCCTGGGCACCACGCTCGCCGTCGTGGCCTCCTCGCCGGCCACGGCGCGCGAGGTCCTGCACAGGCACGGCGCCAGCATCACCGACCGCGGCACGCCGGACGCGTGGCGCACCGACGGGCACGAGACCAACTCCATCTTCGCGTTACCGACGCGCCACCACCGGTGGCGCGCGCTGCGCCGGCTCGGCGCCGAGCAGCTGTTCTCGCCGCGGCGGGTCGAGAAGCAGCGCCCGCTGCGCCGGGACGCCGTGCGCGGCCTCCTCCGCCACGTGTCGGAGCTGGCTGCGGCGTCCGGCGGAGGCACAGGCACGGCGGTGGTCGACGTCGGGAGGGCGGCGTTCGCGGCCATGGCGAACCTGCTGTTCGGGTCGCTGTTCTCGGTGGGCATCGACGCCGCGACGTCGTGCCGGTTCCGCGACGCGGCGCGGGAGTTCGCGCTGCTGACGCTGACGCCCAACGTGTCGGAGTTCTTCCCGGTGGTGGCCATGGCCGATCTGCAGGGCCTTCGGCGAAGGACGGCGAGGCACATCACGTGGATGTACCAGCTGATCGACGGCCATGTCGAACGGCGGATGCGTGGCCGGGAAACAGCCGGTGCGCTCGGGGAGAAGGAGAAGGACCTGCTTGATGTGATGCTGGACATATCGGAGAAACAGGAGCAGAGTGACGACAGCCTCACCATCAACCGGGGTGTGATAAGAGCATTTTTGGCCGTAAGTATATATATGGAGTATGGGCCTATTTAGTTCACGAAAAGAAAATTTTTGTGTCACATCAGATGTTTAATCGGATGTCGGAAGGGTTTTTCGGATACGAATGAAAAAAATAATTTCATAACTCGCCTGGAAACCTTGAGACGAATCTTTTGAGCCTAATTAATCCGTCATTAGCACATGTGGGTTACTATTGTAGCATTTATGGCTAATCATGGACTAATTAGGCTCAAAAGATTCATCTCGCGATTTCCCTCTTAACTATGCAATTAGTTTTTTCATTTATCTATATTTAATGCTTCATGCATGTGTCTAAAGATTTGATGTGATGTTTTTTGGAAAAAAAATTTAGGGAACTAAACGGGGCCTATATCCTCTCTCTCTCTCTCTCTATATATATATATATATGTACGTTTTTATTAGATTATACAGTTTACTTGTAATTATCTTTTGACTGTATGTCATATTTTAAAATTTTAGTACAAATATGCCAAAGTATAAATCATATATAAATTTCTTTTAATATATAACAAAACATGCATGTTAGAATAAAATAAATAATATTTATTTAGCTTTTAATAAAACGAATGGTTAAACGTCGTATAAAAGGGTAACGGCGTCATCTATTTTAAAACGGGAGTACATGTTTTTAGTGATGTTTTTCCAATGACTTTACACCTTTATAATAGTTAATCCTTTCTTAACATATTATAAAAGGTTGGATAATTCATCACCCTTTGATCAGAACAGAAAAACCACGCACAAAAGTAACTTTTCTCACTGCACATATGTTCTAGAAAGAGGCAAAAATTGCTACTGAGCTATAAACAACGTGATGTTAGAAGACATCAATATTAATTAATCATGGCTCTTCTACATGACAGTTTGTCGCTTCGTAGTCACTAAAACATAATGTGTGGACGGAAGCCTGTGACCCCGGCTCACTAGAGTACGTTATCTCTAACAAAGCTATTTTCTAATTTTTTTATAACTATTTAGGTCATGAAAAAAAAGATTGGAAGAGCGAAAACACTTTAAAACAAACTATATTTCATGCGCAAGGTGATTTCTATAATCGTCTGCCTAGGTTTTTGTCAAGCTTTAAATATTTTCTCTGGGTTGGTCTATTGCACGTGGATGTGTTTTCAATACTCCTACAAGTTTGTTGGGGATATATATTTACATATTTATTTAAAGGCAAATTTTATGGGAGGGCATCACGGCTGCTAAGCAGTTTTTGCTTCTACATACGGTAAGAGCTGATCTTTGGGAACGTACTTTTAAAGTATGCATGGTTATTTACTACTGGACATCGTGTTGATTAAAATATTTATTTTTATTTAATAAAAAAGAGATAAATAGTGTGAAAGGACAAATATACTAGCTAAATGACCAAGGCCAGTGGCATATTTGCCTTTTGCACCGTTTTTCTCTTCTATTCAATCGAAAATGAATATTTTGATCAATGTGGTATTCAGTAGCAAATAACCATACTTTGAAAGTGTATTCTCTAAAGATTGACTTTTGTTGTGTTCAGGAGCTAAAACTACGAAATCATGATGCCTTTTAGCAAAATTTGCATTATTTATAATATCTGCTAATCTCTTTAGATATTTGTTAGTAGGCACACGATGATATATTAATTCTTATGATAGAAGTATACATGTAACAATACTAGTTTTTCTTCAGTTGTAATGGAAAAAAAGTGAGAACGCCATGGGTGACATCTATCTCGAAGTAATTGTGCACAATATGTTAAGATATTCGGTTTATGATCAAAATTACTTACATTGCTTAACCAATTTCAGGATTTACTAACGGCGGGCAGTGAAACAAGCTCAGCTGTAATAGAGTGGGCAATGGCCGAGCTACAGCAGAATCCTCAAACTATGAGAAAATTGCAAGAAGAGCTCAAAAAGGTCATAGGCTCAAAAACTTATATAGATGAAGAAGACATCAACCAACTTCCCTATCTTCAAGCAGTCATCAAGGAAACACATAGGCTACATCCAGCCATACCACTGCTAATGTACAAAGCAGCCGTCCCAGTTGAAATACAAGGGTATAAAATCCCCAAAGAAACCACTGTGGTAGTAAATACATGGGCAATTCATCAGAATTCAGAGGTTTGGATTGAACCAGACAAGTTCATACCAGAGAGATTCCTACAAAAGGAGATCAGTTTGTCATCAGGTAGTACCAACATGGAGCTTGTTCCATTCAGTGCCGGACGACGTTTCTGCCTCGGATATCCGGTAGCAAATAGAATGCTGCATCTTATGCTTGGCTCGCTAGTTCATCAGTTTCAGTGGACACTGCCTGAAGTAGTGAAGAAGAACGGTGGCGTAGACATGGCAGAAAAGTTTGGACTAACACTGTCTATGGCGACCCCCCTACATGCTATAGCAAAGAATATTGTGTAGTGTGTAATTTGTGTAATGTATTGCCGAATAAAATATGTCATTTGTGCTGAAATATAACATGGATTTATAAATTTTTATACGATGATTACAAATTGAAGTATCTGAAATTAAATAGGGAATGATTGTGATTGATTAAAATGAAAAAATGTAAGTTGAGAAATTAAATAATATATGATTGGGATTACTTAAGATGAGAAAATAGGTGGAGAAGTTATTATATTTTAAAACTAATAATAGATAATATTATTACTTTTACGGCTACTGTTACCACAACTCACTACTAGAAAAACGATTTTTACCGATGTTGGCCTTTTATTTTTCCATGTGGACAAAAAAAAAACCTCTCTTATAATCGTTTGCGAAAATAGCTAAAGAGTCTCTAGATTTAACCCCACCTACAAAAATTTGTATGCGGACCTCTTAAGGGGTCCGCCTAGAAAATTTTGATTTTCACAGGCGGAACTTTATGTGGTCCGCCTGTAAAAATCATGCTCGTAATAAAAATATCTATGTCACATCCTTATCTTCTCCTCCACCATCCTTATCCTCTCCACTACTCATTTCCCTCCCCCCCCCTCTCTCTCTCTCTCACCCCTAGCCGATGCGCATCGGCGGTTCTGAGGAGGTCAAACGACGACTGCCACGACGACAACGGCGCCAACGCCTGGGTCCCGCCACCGGCAGCGATGACGACGACAACGCCGCCTTGATCCACCGCCAGCTCGCCACGGGTGCGCGGATCCGCCACATGCCGGTCTCGGGGAGGGGAGGGGAGGCGGCGGCCTGGCTCCTCCCTCTCTAGGCGATGGTGTGGATCAGCGACGAGGAGGGGAGGCGTCGGCCACGATGAGGAGGTGATGAGGCGATGGCTCGGCTCCTCCTTCTCCCGGCCTGACGACGGCAGAGACGAGGGGGGCCAGTATTAGGTTGGCAAAAAGGAGGGAGGTGGCAGCGGTGCTCCAATCCTCCCTCCCTTCCTCCCGGATCCGTCATCTGGCGGTGTAGGTGAGGCGGAGGAGAAGCCGATGGCGACGGCCACTGCAGACTGGGCTGGCCCCTCCCCTCCCAGATTTGGAGGGAAGAGAAGAGCCAGCAGGAGGCGGCACTCCCCTTGGTCAGCGCTGGCAAACGGAGGAGGAAAGCCGTTGGTTGGAGGGGGAGGCCGGCGGTAGTGCCGACGGGTAGGGGTGGTGGCGGTGTATTTGTTTTTGTTCGTTGAAATTATTTTCATAGGCGGGTGGATCTACCTCATTTGAAGATGGAGATGCCACCTGCAAAAATGATTTTCGCTGGAAAAATCATCTATTTTTACAAGCCTTTGCGTACAGGCGGTCCTTTCCCTCGCCTGGAACCGCCTGGGAAAACGATTTTCCTAGTGGTGACTACTATGAGGACAAACGAATACTACCAATGCCACCATTACTACGAGAACCTACCATTACCTACAATCACCACCACCACCACATCACTACTACCACCCATCGCCAACCTGGTACAGCAATAGCGATTGCCACTATTACTTATGTAGATATTATAGTAACACACTGATAACCACAAACTTAAAGTCCATCCAAATAATGCAAGTTTAATTTGCAATCTCATTCCACTAGGCAACAAAACAATATTATTAGTGTAGTTCTTTCTAAGCATACGGACAGAACAAGAGAGCAAGAGCCAAAGATGGATTGATTGGGCTTTGGATGGGCTAATGATGGTGAACACTAGTGTAGACAAGGCCAATACCATGGAGCGAGAACTATAGTACTACAAAGTACACAAGTTACGGAGCAAACTGATAGCATGCACTACTAGAAAAGACGTTTTTGCAGGTGGTCAAAATACATTTTTGCAGGCGGATAAACCTTCCACCTGCATCTAAACGACGGTAAAAATCCTCAATTTTTATAGGCGGACCAAAGCACAGGCAGCCGTTGCCATCTTCTCAGGCACTGCAGGTGCTACAGTAGCCCGCTTGCGAAAATACTCATGGCGCCCAAAAATAATTTTCCCGCCAGCCCCACCCCCTCCGTAGGTTTGAAATCACAAATTCTTACAAATCTCATCCAGGAAAAAAAATCCAATCACAAACATCCATTCATCAACACAAAACATTGGATTCAAATCCACAGCAATCAACATGTAAACTTAGAAAAAAAAACAACATCATCGTCGTCACCGGCGAACTCCTTTGCATGCGGTGGCCGCCGCCGCCCCCTCCCCCCATAGACCGGATCTGTGAAGGAGGGAGGTGTCCGCCTGTTGACAGAAAACACGAGGCCTAGGAGATCTGCTTAACTCCAGTGCAGGTCCAAAACTTGCCTTCGGGTGTGTAAGCGTGCCAATTGATCTGATCCTGTAATCAACAAGAAATAGAGACAAAGAAACCATAATTAATCCTATAAACGATAGCCGATCGGCTAGGTGCCGATGACATATCATTTATCTCTGAGCCGATGTCATATATGTATCGATCGGCATTCATGAACAAATAAGAAGGAACTAAATCTACTCGATCGGCTGTAGATATTAATGATACATACTTCCTATATCGATATATACTTAAATCAAGTGATTGGGATAGATCGGACGCCATGCCGAGACAGTATAAATCATTAGATC